ATATATGATATATATATATGATATATATATATGATAGATATATATATATGATGGCCCAGTGTCTGGTGGTCCGTCCGTCCCCCGAGATGGTTTTATTTGTCCCTTTTTTGCATATGTAAGTTATAATTAACAGTATATTAACACATATCTAAGTAGTGTGTTTATACACATGAGTGTGTATACATATGTAGTATGTGTATGTGTATATTAACACATATCTAAGTAGTGTGTTTATACACATGAGTGTGTATACATATGTAGTATGTGTATGTGCAAATGTGTTTTTTTTGGGGTAACCCCCAATAAACCATGTTGGGCCATTTTTCCTGGCGGCAGGATTTGCCAAGTTTGCATCGCCCCCTTTTTGGGTTAATGGGCAGATTCTCGGAAAGATTCTCTCAATGGTTTCAGGTGGGACGATTGACAGTTTTCAGGACCCACCCCCCCATATTTCACAGGAAAAACCATGGAAAACCCGATAAACCTTCCATTTTCTGCCGAGTTTCGGGGTTCGGTTTTCCCTGAAAAAGGGGTTCCATCCATTCCTCGGCCAATTTCAATCGCCAGGTCGCATCGAACAAGTTCTTCGTGCTGCGCGGAGCTTCGGCTACGTGGACATCGTCCGGGACGTCCAGCGGAGGGGTTGAAATTGGTGGCCTTCAATACCGATGCTGCGCCAAAAGAGATGAAGATGATTAGAATTGGGGATACCCCAAAACAATATAAAACTGGTTGGTGGTTTGGAACATGAGTTTTATTTTTCCATTCATATTGGGCATGTCATAATCCCAACTGACTCAGATTTTTCAGAGGGGTAGGTCAACCACCAACCAGAAAACAATGGGATATTTTTTGAGATATCTTTCAACAGCATGATACTTTTGGTTTGTCTTGAAAGGGGAACATCCGCTTCTTTTTCTCTTGGAAGGAAATGATAAACCATTGGATTTGAGGAATCATTACTGTATTTCAAGTCCTCAATTCTTGTGGATTGTGGTGATTGATAAGCCGAAAACATGAACCACCCCAAAACATGTTGTTTTATGTCTGATTATATGAACAATATTATATATATATATGTATGTATATCTGTATATATATATATATATGTGGATATATATATATATATATATTTATGTATGTGTATATATATATATATGCATGGCTATGCGGCTATGTGGAGCCATTTTCCATAGCTATGCCACATTGCCAGAGGTTTCTTGGGGGTGCAGTTGACGTTTATGGGTATAACCATTAGTGATTTTCACCCCCCAAAAGCTGGTATATAGCCCCTACAACTATGGTTATACATCAAAAAAAAACTTGGTTTTCTGCACTTTTATGGAAATATGTGTCATATGCATCTCCATCTACTAAAGTCTACGAAAGTTACTAACCTCCCATGGAAAATTTTGCAGCTTCCATGGATCATTGAGGTGACCATGGCGAATCGCCAGTGGTTGGTCACGTGGCTGAGTTTTTTTGGAGTTATTATACCATAAGACACTGGGATTTTATGTGATATCCTATATGAATCTATATGATATCTTATGGGAGATAGTTATCACCATATTGCTATAGATAAATGATTTAAATATATTTAAATGGGATAATGCTATAGATAAATGGTATCATGCGGGATATTGCTAGATATTTATGGGATTAGCACCATTAGCAGCACATCATATGGGAAAATCCTTTCGTAATATGAAGGCCATCGAAACCTGGTTGGGATGAAATCACTTGGGACTATAGAATTAAGGGCTTCATATTAAGGGAATGGGATTCGAATGGGATATGCAATGGTTTTAAATGGATATAGAACTAGGATAGAATCTGGATTCTACCAGAGATTGACTTCGGGAATCGCTTGGGGGAGAGATTGGGACGATCACCCTTAAATATGCGATACATTTTATAGGAGACAAATGGGACATGTTCATGACCAACAATGATATGATCTCTGAGTCTGAAAATGTGTGTATCAATATCAACATATGTGACATATGTCGATCTTTGGTGAAAAATATTCATGAACCAACGGGAATGGAATGGGGTCGCCTAAATTTTCAGGTGGGCTGGTTCCCTATTCTCAGCATCGTTCGGTGTTCGGATCATGGGATTTTTGGTTCGCGAATGGTTTTCATGGGGCATCCCAAAGCACCGCACATCGTTTTTTTTTTTTCCGGTTGCGACCAATCAAGGACCAAACCATTGGACTCTTGAAGAGCGACTTGGATCTCTGGAAACTCTTTGACGAGTTGGGCATCGAGGTGTTCCTTGGCTGAGGCGGTGTGGTGGTGTTTTTTTTTTTTTGTTAACGTTGGTTAACAAAAAAAATGTAATGTCATAGTCATAGTCATAGACCTTTGGAATCTTTTGCAATCCGTTGGAATCGGATCTCGAAGTCTCTGCATATACTAAGAAAATCCTTGTGTAGCTACATTTTCATACATTTTCCATAATCCATATCCACTATCAGGTCCACTATCTGTACTTTCCATGAGGATGCTATCCACCAGATTGATGATTAGCCATATGGGCTTAGCAAAATATATGACTATGACCAAAACCCACCAAAAACGAACATGTTACTCATTTACGATGCGTTTGGTGGGATTAGCATTATTTGACTTTCCTATTTTTAAGGAATACTATGATGAATAACTCGATACCATCAGTTGCCCAGTAGCATCACTTAATGCACTCAATTGATATAACATGTCATTAAATTATTCATTGATAGTACAATCCATACACATATTGACATTGATTTTTCATTGTTTGCCCGCTAGCCTGTCCGACTCAGTTCCTTAATAAGGCACTACGCGCAGCCCAGCCCGTCGAGAGTGCTAAAGGTGCACGTGGATCGGAAGTTTAGCCTCTGGGAATTTCACGGCGACAAATCATCCAAGTCAATGGGCCATAGTTTCTGCTATGTCAAAATACATGAGGGAGATAATCTGAGATATTTGAGGGTAGTTCATGGTAGTTGAGATAATCTATAGCTATGATGATAGTTGAGATATTTGAGGTGATATAATCTAGATATTAATCTAGTAAGGAACACGTGTGTTCTGCATTGCAAGATAGATGTGTCACAAGATACCGTTTTTTGATCTTTTTTACCGAAGATCTCAAGTGCCAACGAAACGTCTGTGGTTTTCGCTTCACAATCCACAAACTGCCGTGTCCCCAGCAGGGCGACGCTAGAGAGGGCATTTCCGCCAAGAAGGCGAGCGCCAGGACCTCCAAGGAATGCTGAAAAAGACTGTGGGAATATTCAAGGAATGTCTAAATTGTCTAAATATTAAAATGATTACATGACACGGGATCCGGACATGTTGGTCAACAAATGCAGGTTTTGTGACACACTCTACATATATATATATATATATAATTATATATATACACACATATGTACGTGTATGTATAAGTATATTTATAAGTATATTTATATGTATATTTATATGTATATTTATGTATATTTATATGTATATTTATATATTTATATGTATAATTATATGTATATTTATATGTATAATTATATGTATATTTATATGTATATTTATATGTATATTTATATGTATATTTATATGTATACATATATGTATATATACACATACATATATATATACATATAAATATAGACATATGGGTCAACTACCGTGGTGAAAGTTACAACATACCATGGACTGCAAGATTCAGCTTCCAAATATATCTGAATTACATCATACACAGCAAAATGTTTCCCTTTTTTAACCTCTTTTCTCTTGTCGTTTTTTGACAAACCACGACGCGCCAGGTTGCTATGTCTGCTGTTTTGGACAAGTGCCCCCTGACACCACAGATGGACAGGTCATGGACAGGTCATGGACAGGTCATGGACAGGTCATGGACAGGTCATGGACAGGTCATGGACAGGTCATGGACAGGTCATGGACAGGTTATGGACAGGTCATGGACAGGTCATGGACAGGTCATGGACAGGTCATGGACAGGTCATGGACAGGTCATGGACAGGTCACCCTCGCACCAGGTACTACGGCGACAGTGTGAAGGCGATCTCTACGGCTGTGAATTTTTCTGACTTTTGTTGGAAGTGGTTGGTCGATGTTTCCATGACTTAAAAAAGGTCAGGTTTGGACCATCCGCAACACCCAGCGGCTCACATTGGTGGAGGGTAGCTGTCCATTTCCCGCGCTATTTGCTGTGCAGAACATTGGGCTTTGATGGGCTTTGAATATCAACAATATAAACATTGGGCACCCGAAATCTGGTGGATTATACCAGTTTTGTCATATACTAGAGGGGTATGTTACCCTAATGAGTTACTGTTAGAGGCAATCCCTAAAGTATATTTCTAGACATGTATCCTGTAGCGTTTTTAGTTATTGCCACCCGAGAGAGAGAGAGAGAGCCACTGTGCGACGTGTGTAACTTGGGGGATCTTGCGCGAACAAAGGGGGCAACTTGGTCCTCAAAGCAGATGCTTTTGGATGATTTGTGAATGTTTACTGGAATGTTTTGGATTTTCAATGATTTATGGATGTTTTTGGATGATTACAACCAGCACAGGGGCAATTTGGGCAATTTCGAAGATATTGGCTGCAACTCAACTTGGTATTTTTTTTGACATCTCAAATGGGATGAAACCCGGATTTGTGCCTGTGAAAAATGCCTGGAACAGGTTCCAATTTTTCATCACATCTAAATAATCTGGTCTATTCCACGGTGTCACTTGGCTCAACTTTGATGGCTGCTAAACAAGGGCCATTTGCAGAGCCCCACCATTTGCAGACAAACCCAAATAGCATATTTTTGCTTATATGGCATTGATATAATTCAACTACAGCAATTTATACAATACCTATGTCCCAACAGTAAATCCCATTAATAGCCATTTATATATCCCTATGAAATCGCCATTGTTGATCATTGAAGCCTCATTCCCGGCACAACTCGGTGCCGGCAAAACTCGGTTCGGAAAGTGATGCGGTGGATCTCCAAGTGCTATGCCTCAATGGTGCAGGATGCAGGTTGGAATGCAGTGCTTTGTCTATGGGTTGGGAAGTATGCAGAATGGTCTCAAAACAGCTTCCACCAAAGAAAGGTGGAAAACTCAGCATCACATTGATTCGCAACTACGACTGAACCAAACATTGGGACAGCAGGGTATTGTGGGCAAGTTTGCAACACTCTCTTGCACTTAGGTTCCAACAGATTTGTATGCTGCAGGCTATTCTATTCATGGGCAATATTTTCCACTTATTCCTGAGCCTGAGACAACCTCTTCCTTAGAAGGCGTCACTCAGATAGCAGGGACGCAAACTGCGAATCATTTCGGTTTTCTCCCACAAAGCCTAGAAAGCCTGACGTTTGGAGACACGCTCGATTCAAGCTTGGCAGAAGCAACTCTAACAAGCAGTCTGCAAATCTTGACATTTGGCAGTGCTTTCAACCAGAGCATGGATCATGTGAAGCTGCAAAGCAATCTTCGGAACCTGACATTTGGGTATTGTTTCAACCAGAGCATGGATCGAGTAAGTCTGCCAAGCATTGCAAAGCAGTCTTGAAAACGCTTAGGATTTGGCGCCTATTTCAATCAGAGCATTAAACGAATGAAGCTGCCATGCAATCTTCAGAGTCTGACATTTGGCCATGATTTCCAGCAGAGCCTGGCACAAGTGAGTTTACCAAACAGGGCTCCATTTTTAACCAGAGTCTACAACCAGTGGCCCTACCAAGCAGTCTTCAGAGCTTGACATTGGGCCAACATTTCAAAAGGAGCGTAGAGCAAGTAGCACTGCCAGAGAGTCTTCGGACTTTGACCATTGGTGGTGGTTTGAAACGGAAGCTTGAAGAAGTGTCCCTCTCAAGTAGTCTTCAGAGCTTGACATTTTTAGATAATTTCGGCCAGAGCCTTAAAGGAGTGACGCTGCCAAGCAGTCTTCACAGCTTGACATTTGGCAATGGTTTTGACCGTAGCCTGGAACGAGTTACCTTGCCAAGCAATTTTCGCAGCTTGGCATGTGGGGAGTTTTTCAATCACAGCTTGGAACATGTGATGTTGCCAAGCAGTCTTCGGAGATTAGTATTTGGCCGATTTTTCAACCAACCCCTCCAAAGAGTGACTTCGGCCTTAAGCAGTCTTGAGAGCTTGACAGTAGGTATTAGTTTGAAGCGTGTCTTGGAAGGAGTCGCCCCGCCAAACAGTCTACAGAGCTTGTCATGTGCCTGGGTGTTTTTTTGAGTGGCAAGCATCTGATACAAGTGAGCATTGTGTCATCAGCCCCAGTTCCAAAGTCAAAGTTCTGCAAGCAAAGTCTGCGCCTGGCAGTGGGAAAATCTATTGTCTAAGGTTGAAACCACCAAGCAAACATCAGTTTTTTTTGGGACTTTTCACGAAAGTTTCTGGAGGCTTTGATATTCAAGAACCTGCTTAAAAAAACATCTAAAAACCTACTCATGACATCTAATTACTAATGAATTTTTGAACATGACTGAGTTCGCGTCATAAAAAAGGCAACAACCCCAGTCCGGGATGTGACGTGCTGGCTTGAACAACATGGGATGATGATCCCAGACGCACCAAATGGTGTAACTTAGCTGGTCATAACTTTGTTAAGCCAAGAACTGCTGTAACATTCAAATACATCATTAAACATCACTAAACATTCTTTAAACATCATTAGACATCATTGAACATCATTAAACATCATTAACCATTCTTTAAACATCATTTAAACATCATTAAACATTCTTTAAACATCATTAAACATCATTAACCGTCATTAAACATCATTAAACATCATTAAACATCATGAAACATCATTAAACATCTTTAAACATCCTTTAAACATCGTTAAACATCCTTGAAACATCATTAAACATCATTAAACATCATTGAACATCATTGAACATCTTTAAACATCATTTAAACATCATTAAACATTCTTTCAACATCATTAAACATCTTTAAACATCCTTGAAACATCATTAAACATCATTAAACATCATTAAACATTCTTTCAACATCATTAAACATCATTAAACATCATTAAACATCTTTAAACATCCTTGAAACATCATTAAACTTCATTAAACATCATTAAACATCATTAAACATCATTAAACATTCTTTCAACATCATTAAACATCATTAAACATTCTTTCAACATCATCAAACATCATTGAACATCATTAAACATCATTAAACATTCTTTAAACATCATTTAAACATCATTAAACATCATTAAACATTCTTTAAACATCATTAAACATCTTTAAACATCATTAAACATCATTAAACATCATTGAACATCTTTAAACATCGTCATTAACCCATGTTTTTCGTTGCTTCACCGAACGCGCGAATTTTGCAAGGCGCGCGTGCATGTGCTTTCCATCGGCGATCAGGATGCCGAGGTCCGGATGAGGGGTATGCTACGGGAGATGATGGGATTTGATGGGAGATTAGTGCATATATATATAATTATATTATATATACATATGTGTATATAGTGGCTTTATGCGGGTATAATATGGTATTTTATTATTTTTATGGGATGTCTTATGGGATTTCACCAACAATATGAGATAGGCTGGTTCCTAAAATGGGGATACCCCAAGAGCTGGATGGTAGCCCCATTCTAGGAAACCTCCATACATACATGCATACATGCATGCATATCCACATATATATATATATGATTATATATGTATGACTATATATATATAAATTATGTATATATATATATATTAAGGTAATTGTAGGTATGTGACTAGTTGTACGATGTTATCAATGTTATGGGGAACATCTTCATGATTTTTTTAATATGTGTCATGATGGACTTAACCAACAAAAAACGGACGATTTTACCACGAAGAATGTGAATAGAATTGGATATCTGAGACCAACCGAAAATGATAGCTGGATGTGTCAAGAGTTGAAAACTGAGTAATTTCACTTTTCCCAGATATTCACGCACACACACAATCACATATATATATAATAATAACAATAATAATATATACATGATATGATATGATATTGATCTATTGACTTACCTAGCAAAAAAATCACCTATGAATCTGCATGTCTCTTCGTTAAAAAAATAGGCGCGTTTTCAAGGGAGAGTTCACCACCGGGGCTCGATTTTCTCGATTTTTTGGTGATTCCCAGGCAGTGGCCCTGCAGGAGGTTCTTCAGGCGATCGGATCTTGGGGATTTGGCCGAAAATATACCACTTGGTGGTTCATCCCACTTGGTAAGTAGGTTATAACCCCAGTTGTAAGTGGATTAACCCTACTTATCCCATTTATAACCAAGGTTATAACCTACTTACTAAGTGGGATGAACCACCAAGCAGAGGATACTGGATTTATCCTCTACCAGAGGATACTTTAATATGGTTTAATATGGTTTAATGATGAGATGATCATGGAATGATGGGATAATACTAGGATATTGATGGATATACTGGATTTATCACTGGGTAATGGCAATTATCTAATTATTACTGGTATCTATTAGTAATTTTTTAATTTTTTCCTTTATTAGATGGATTTATCCAGTACCCTCTGGTAAACAAAGACTTTGCTATTGAAAATGACCCATTTAGTTCGTTGATTTACCCATTAAAAGTTGTGATTTTCCATAGTTATGTTAGTTTACCAAGGGGTAATTTATACAATAATGGAAAACATACTAATTACCATCATTGGGTAAATTATCCAGATTTATTACTATAAAAATTACCAGATTTGGCCATGTGAAACATTACCAGGTAATTTATCCATAATTTATCCAGATAATTAGTAATCTTATACCCAGTGATGGGATTTACCAGATAATTTCCGATAATTTGGGGAATAGAATGACATGGATAGATTTTATGATATATGGGTGATTTTGACATTTGGCAGAACAAAACGGTGTGACATGGTGTGACCAGATGATACTCCGAAAACTTTGGAATTTTCTGAGTAGCTAAGTTAAGTTTGGCTGGTTGAAGGTCTGAAGTATTCAATGTCTACATCCAGCAAGACTTTGACCGAAAGTGCGTTTCCAGGCTGCCCAGGGTGTGAGTTGGTTCCGACCCATTTGCAAAGTGCTGAGGCAGGGGAT